ATTAATGACATACTGAATCCCTTCTTCGATCAGTTGAATGCCGAAGAAAGACAATACGGGTATTTTCAGCAGGACAACGCTACAGCACATACGGCTAATGCATCCATGGTCGCAATACAGGAAGTGTTTGAAGACAGAATTGTCAGTAGAGGACTGTGGCCTCCCAGATCCCCAGATCTCAGTATTTCTGATTATTATCTTTGGGGCAACCTGAAGCAAAAAGTCTACAAAAATAATCCCCGCAGCATTGATAGTCTTCAAAATGAAATTACACGCGTAATTCATTCAATTACCGTCGACGAACTGCAGAGAGTGTCGCGTAATTTATTTGTGAGATGCGCGGCATGTTTGCAAGCAGAAGGAGGTCACTTTCAGCACCTGTTATAAACCACGGTAAGTTATCTTTTTACTGTATTCTTATAAATGTGTGCATGTAGAGTAACTGATGGACGGAGACTCAGCGACACCACTACACTCACGCTATCGGGGAACGGCACTGCAGTCGCGGGGAGGAGTTGCATCCGTTCTGCGGTGGTATGACTCACAGCAAATTGCAGCCGCGGCGCGCACTTGATTGTACGCACTGTATATCCACATGAAGACGAATTGTTAAATTTCCTATGATTCAGTAAATCATCTTTTAATATGATAAGTTCATTAGTATGTTGGGTGAAAAATGTTGGCCAGCTTCAGGACTTGAAAATTAAAATTCTCATGGGGAAAAAGTGGAAATATTCTCAAACATTGAGCTTATAGCCGTAAGTTAGAGTCAGTAGTTGCTTTAGCTGCTACTTGACTGTGTTAATATGTTAATAAATGTGATTATTTACAGGCAAGGATAATTGAAATATATGGGAAATATGGAGAGTACATGAAAACTTGTTCCGCTGAATTTTTCGATGAATATGAGAACATGTCAGTATATGTGGCAGAAGCTGTACTGACTGAGCCATATTTTCAATGCATACTGAAGGCAAGTTTCTATATTGAAGTGCTTTGAATCATTTATTCATTACAGGCCACTTCAGTGCCATTACTTTTGTAATCTCAAAGTAACCATCAGGGACACAGGAGTCAGATTTTGCACCAGACCTGATTTGAAAGCTCCTGGTTCATTTATTTCTTGGTTGGATGTTAGTAACTGAAGGCTGCAGAGAAAGTTGGCATGTTGAGCTTCATGAAAAAGGGAAAATTATTGCAGTAGGTTAAAATAAATTAAGTAAAAATAGTTGCTTTAGTCTTCTGAGAATTGCAGTGGCTAGCAGAGTGTCTCTACGTTCAGTCACTCTCTTAAGATGTTATTGGATCTATAAGATGAACACTGGAAATGTGAACACAGTCTGCCAGATAAGAGTGCATATTATATTGATTTAAAGAGTGTGTGTATGCAGTATGTTGTTGCAAAGTGGCTGGCTCATACAGGTAAACAGGCACTGAGGTGCCAGAAGTGGCACGTTAAGTGACATTTTCAGTAACACTTAACCCTTTGACGTGGTCATTTAAATTCCGCGGCCGCGGCTCCTGCGGTAATATATTCAGCCGGCCATTTAAATTTTGCTCGAAAATTATTTATTCATCATTGTTCTTAAATTCTATGAGATAGGAACATGAAACTTTCACTAAAATGATCTTAAATGGTGGTTTTATAACCTTACCTTATAATATGGGCGCCCTGTATCTCGGCCATGGAAGCAGGTTGTTTAGTATTTCAGCAGTGAATGGTACGCCTTGAAGGATGAAACTTTCACTAAAATGATCTTAAANCAGTCCTCCTGACAACAGGCCAGTGAAAAATCTAACAATCTACAGCAAAACCATCAATTATTATGGGCGTTATAACATACGTGTGCAGCTGGACGAAACATACACGTCGAACCCCCCCAGACGATTTAAATCCCTGACGAAACATACACGACGAACCACGGCAACGGGTTAAATAATGACTTATATGTTCTTGACATAGTAGAATATGTATTTGTGGTGTTACTCTTCACATGTGTCAAGTTTATCTCTTTGAGCCCTTTGTATTACTGGGCTGGTTGCCAGATTTTAATTTGTAGACTTTAGGAATGATTGAAATGAGTTCCAAGTAGAGTTCATAAAGACTTCATTCCATAATCATATGTTTGGCTATGAGAATCAGAAGTTATAAGTAGGATATATACAATGTTTGGAGAGGGTACTGTATGCCTCCCCCTACTTTGCTACTGCTACATTCTGGACCATTACACTAATTATGAATGATGTCAGGAATTGGGGACCTGAAAGGACTAATTTTTACAGTGAATTTATGTTGTTTGTTATTCCTTTATGATTATTATTATTATTTCTTCCTTATTCCATTACATCTATAATAGGCAAAAGCCTTAGATACAGAATTGTGTCAGTTTATCTTGCTAATACTCTTAAGCAATTGTCAAGAAGACATAAAATAAAACAATGTATGTTTACATCATAATACAATTTCTCTCTAGCATAATACATTAAAATTTAAGATAAAAGTTTCCATCAAAGGTAACAGAATATTTTGGTCATATAGCTTAAACATATATAACAAATCCAAGATATAAAAACATTACATTTATAAAAATACAAAATTACAATTTCATGATGACCACTCTTCACTCGTCCCCAGTCCAATAAAACATATAATCAGGCAGTCCCTTTATAATTCTTATTCAGTCCACTCCAGTGTGGTTGATGGTTTTGGGACTACATCAGAGATTGTGAACATCAGTTCTCATTGCACTTCATATTACAGTTACTGTTACTTGTATTGTAACTTGCTTTAGAAAATCAGGATTGATGTATTGTGATGGAGTTCAGGAGTGTCAAGATTCAGGGTTTGTGGGGGCCTGATGACATGCATGAAAAGGGAGGCTGATGAGAAAAGTGACAAACCTGAATGAATCACAATTAGCAAACAGCAAACCCTTGAAGCTTTTGTTATCCTCAAGAGCTTTCGACAAATGTGGTGCAACTGATTATGACTACAGACTGATGTTTAGATTTAGATATTTAGATTAAATAGGCTCTGTAGTGACAGTTGAGAGAAAATTGAAATGAATGACTTTTTAAGTAACAACCCTTTAGCAAAGGGTGAGTGTAACAGTATAATGATGGCCATACCATGGCTTGTGGTTAGTTGCTGGCTTTCCATTGTGGCAGCCCAGGTTCGATCCCAGGTTAAGTAGTGTATTTTCTGGCAGAGTGGTTCTAGGACAGATTTTCACTGAGTACTTCGTTTTCCCCTGCCAATTCTCATTCCACCAACTGTCCTATGCACCTTGCTCATCATTGTCATCATCCAGGATTGGTGCAGTAGGCCCACTATTGGTTGACATACCAAGTGGACCCAGTCCCTCCCCACCCCACGATTAAAGAGGTTATCAGTTTACAGTGAAACGTTCATTAATTTTCCTGCAGAAGTGTTTGTACATAGTATAGGTGTGTGATAACATGCATTGCTTGTCATTTGTTACATATTAATTTTGACTAGTTTGCATTGTACATTGAAGTTAAAGGAATCACTTCGCAGATGAATAATGACAGGATTTTTCCGTCCTGTATTATTCCTCTGATTTTCTATTAATAGATGTGAAAATATGATTTATAAATGTGATAACAATGACTGGTGCATACTGTGTGTGTGTATACTATCTGTCTTTCTCTCTCCAGAAAGAATAACCATAACTGTGCCTAAAACACAGTGTATCACCATTAGAGAGTTACTGAATTCTATTTTCAACATACAGCGGGAACCAAAATTGCAGTATTAGAGATCTCATTGAATACAGGACTTTACTCTCATAAGGTTGCATGCTTAAGCCATAACGCCCTCAAAATGTTTTAGAATGTGCTGTAAAATTGTAATGTGAAAGTCACAGGTAAAAATCATGGAGTAAACCATGTTCATTCACCAATTTCTAATGCTTATCTTCTGGGAACAGGGAATTTCAAATTGCTTGATACTTTTGGGCTGGTGGCCAGATTTTAATTCTGTGGTAGCAGCTCATTGTCCAAAAATAGGGGGATTTCAAATCTTGCATTACTGTGGGGCTTGCTGCTGGATTTGAACTCTGTGGTAATGGTATTAATACTGAAGAAGTGTTTGGCCAACTGGACTGCATGGATGTTCTGCTGTAATGATGCAGGGCATTAGTGTTTAAGGGAACTGTGACAGTTTTTCTGAGTACACGTATTTCTTGAATTGTGTTCCAAAAAAGAGTCAGTGGCCGAAACTGCAGAAATCTAATAGTTTTCCCATAAGAATCCATGGAAGTATCTCAGATCTGATACAGAAAGTAGCATTGTATCATTTGACTTCATTCACTGGGATATGAAAGTTGATTTTTATTGTATTTCTTCTTCCATATTTTTACTGTGAAATTGCATTATTTTAGGAAAATTGTGAGAAAATAATATGAAGTGAAAGAGTTTATAGTAGTAAGAAATAATATAAATCAGTACTCACCGATATCATGGTAGGGCTTGTGATGGATGGATGAGTCATTGAATTGTATGGGGAGATAGTTGAAGACAATGAAGTAGGTAACTGCAAAGGTAGAGAAGGGGACAGCATTGATTGAAAAAAAGCACGATTTTCTCCATTTAGGGCCAATTAAGATGATAGAAAAATTTCACCGGACTTCTTTAAAAATGAATCATCTCCAGCTGCTTCCCACCCCAGACTTTTTACATGCAGAAATAGATGAACAGAAGAGCTTGTGTGTCTGGACCAAACTTCTCTTTCTCCACCACCCATACAATACTTTCCTCTTTCTTCTCCCTGCTTCTGTCAGTCAACCAGTAAGTGGTTTGAATTAAGGCAAGCACTGTTGAATCAGTCTAAAAACTAGTTGATTGGATTTTTCAAACTTGCATATGATTAGGAATATCTGTATGTGAAATAGAGCATCAAGAAGAGAATTAATTACTTCAAGACCTTAAAAAATACATTTTACATGTCATAAAATTGATGTTCAAATGGCTTCATGCCTCTTCTGCTTTAATACGAAGCTCACTTTCATGTGGTTCATACAGTCTATAACAATTCATAGTTCTTCAGCAGACAATGTGTTTTAGATTCATGCTTCTTAAATTATAACCTGCAAATTTTCAATAATCATATACTGGATGATAATATGGTGTTCTAGCAGTTTCTTTTATTATGGTCCAAATCATCTCTGATTCTGATAATTGGGTCCAATAATATAGTGCTTAAATTTCCAACTTCTGGCCAGAATAATTCACATTGTGCCATATAATGTATTTCTTAAAAAAAAAAACTGGTATTTAGTTATGTAAATACATTTCTTGTGATGTATGCAAGTTCTTGTGTAAATTGGTATGAGATGGAACCTAAAAGTCTCATCTCAGAGACTACATCTAGCAGATGCTGCATTTGTCATTTTTGTTACTTCTGCGTGGCTCGAATGATAAGTAAGAATCAGGTTCAATCTATCCCTGCTTTATTAAGACTAACTTTTGATACACAAAAGCGTTTTATATACAGGGTGTTTCACGACTTTAGGGCATAACTGCAGGAAGTGATTTTCTAGGTCTTTGTGATCAAAAAAGTTCATATAAACATGTGTCCAATTTTGGACAGTTATGGAGTTATGGAGACTGGTTTAGTTTCATTAGGAATATTAAATCTCTTAAGAACATTGTTCGAATATTGAGTTTGTGTTAACTTTATAGTTTTCTTTGCCCTGTCTCTGTTCACTTCCATTCCTAGACATTTCTTAACTGGTCCCAAATCCTTGACTTTAAAACATTGTTGCAGTTTTCTTTTTAAATTCTCAACTTCGTCATTATGAAATATGAAGAAGTCGTCAACATACAGTGCTATATTAATTACAGAATTACCCTTTTGTTTGGTATAAAAACATGGTTCAGAACAAGTTTGCTTGTACCCTAGGCTTTTCAGAACCTCTGTTGCTTTCTTATTCCACGACCTAGCGGCTTGTTTTAGTCCGTAAACAGATTTTTTTAACTTGCAAATTTTATTAG